ATTTGATCCCTTCCCATCCAAGCATTCGCATGGATGTTTTATAGTATGACTTCTTTCTGTGCTGTATTCCTGCCACACATTCCTGATTAAAGTGACTTTTACCTTAAGAGCTTTAAATCATTTAGTGGTTCTTGCTTATGATACTTCAGCTGGTGCCGAATTTAGGCATATGCATTTTAAAAACTTTTTTAAAAGTGTCCAGTTATATAACTCCCTTTGAAAACCATTTGTTACAAGAAACTACTAAATTGAATAAGAGTTCTTCAAGAAATGTCAGAGATAGTAAACCTAACATTGCTAGATAATCTCTGAAGAACAATTGTTCAAAACTATTAGTTACTCCAGCTGATACATATTGCTAATTCCAGTTATCTAAAAAAGCAAAACTGTCCTTATTGCCAATCTCTCATATCCCAAATTGGATCATTTGTGTTTTTCACTGCATCATCAATTACAACTACCAGCAAGTAGTCCCATTCTATTCAAATCATATGCAGGAAAACTTGACAAGGGTTTTCTTTCAATGAATTTACACATGCATTATTTTAATAAGGACCAAAAACAAACAATAAATATTGGAAGACTTTGAAGCACATTCCAAAAACTGCAGAATAAACATGTTTTCCCCAAACACATAAGATATACCAATTGCCTGAACGCTACCAATCTTTTCGCCATATTTCTAGCATGTATCTCATTTGATTTTTATACTCATTTATAAATGTCATATGCATTTCTACCTCAAAACCCACTGTCTGGGTGTAAGTTAACAATTTGTCAGCCTACTAGGTGGATGAAACCAGAAAATGGAAAGGCTAAAACTACTTTCATTGAGATTGTCTATAACAGAATTTTGCAAGTCTGATTGTGCTGTACCCTCTGCTTATTGTTCAGTAAATTAGGGAGGTGTCTTCCCAAGTCACTTCTAAATATTATCTGTCTATTTTGGGCTTAAAATAAGTTATCTCCCATTGCCCTGGCAACATATCTTGCATATCTCCATCAAGAATAGAATAGAATAGAATAGATTTTTATTATCATTGTGTAACTCACACCGAAATTAAGTGCTGTCCACAGTGCACACTGCACACAAGTAAAAACCATAAATAAAAACATACATTATATACAAACATCCTTCACATTCTATTCACCATTGCGCTGCCCCTAATATTGCACTTCAATGTTGCACTATACAGTGGTATTTAGTATGGTTACAGCTCTGGGATAAAAACTATTTTTCAGCCTATTTGTCTTTGTTTTTATTATCCTGTACCATCTGCCAGATGGTAATAGTTCAAAAAAAGAACGTCCAGGATGAGATGAGTCTTTAAGAATGTTTTGAGCTTTCCTAAGACAACGGGAACTGTACAGTTCGTCCCGGGGGGGGAGTTGAGGGCAACCAATAATCCTCTGGGTGATGGTAATGACCCTCTGGAGCACTTTCCTATCTGCTATTGTACAGTTGGCAAACCACACACAAATGCAATAGTTCAGAATGCTCTCTACGGAACGATAGAAGGTCACCAGCAGTTTTTCATTCAGTTGTTGTTTCCTGAGAAGTCTCATGAAATATAATCTCTGCTGGGCCTTCTTAACCAATGCTATAACATGAGCACTCCCAGTCAGGTTGTCCTTTATGGTAACACCCAGAAACCTAAACCTATATACAGAAATATATAGAAAAAAAAAGTAACCTCTCCTCATCTGTAACTGTAAAGAATATCTCTAGTGGATCTTAAAATTAGATAACTTGACAACTAAATAATTTGCTTAGGTAGCTTTCATGAGGTCTTGAGCATTATTCCTATCCAATAGGAATCCACTATTAGAGGGCCATCCACCATCTACGATCTTCCAAGGCAGACTGTTCCATTGTTGAACAGTTCTTACTGTTAGGAAATTGTTTCTGATATCTGATATCTTGTAATTTAATCCCACTATTTCTTGTTCTGTCTTCTGAACAAAAATGAACAAGTTCTCCTACATATCCCGTTTCCCCCAAAATAAGACTTAACTGGAAAATAAGCCCCAGTATGATTTTTCCAGGTTGATCATAATATAAGCCCTACCCGCAAAATAAGCCCCAATTAAGATCGTCAGCCAGATGGCATATTTAGTACCACATTTCCCTGAAAATAAGATCTAACCAGTAAATGAGCCCTATGCGTCTTTTGGAGCAAAAAATAACATAAGACCCAGTTTTATTTTTTGGGAAACATTGAGTATCAGTCCTTCAGAGATATGAAAATATTTCTCTATTTATGTATCTATCTCTAAAAATTTATTTGTCACCAATGTCATATCCAATGACTCTGGGTAGCTAACAACATTAAAAACAATGAAAAACATTAAAATCATCCATTGCCCAAAACATAGCAAATAAAACATTAATAAAATCAAGGAGAAAGATGGCAAAGAAGAGAGCCAGATACATGGGGGGGAGTGAATTTTAATTAGTCAACTTCCTCCAGTACGAAGCTTCCCCATTGAGTCTCCAGTCATCAGGCAGAGCCAGGTCTTAAGGCTCAATCAAAACGTCAGGAGGGTAGGAGCCAATCTCACATCAAAGCGTAAGATTTTTCCAGAATTTCAAAAAAATCAGTGCTCACAAGGATTGAAAATTCTTTCAACTGTAGTTCATATGAAGGATAGTTGGCCAAAGATGATAGTTTTGACTTACAGCTTCAAATATGAATGGTAGCAATGACAGTACTATATAGTACTATAAAGTCATGATCAAAAAGGTAAGAATCTGGTCCAAGGACATATTTAGCCTCAGGTATGAAAAGCATGAAAACTGGGGTTCAAGGTACTATCTAAATAAAGATATAAAATTTCCAGAATTTTTTTTAAAATTGAGGTGAACCTTTGTTTTTAGCATAATTTGGAGAAATTCAATGTATTATGTACAATTAATTGTAAAAGTGTTTTTATAATGGTTTCCCACTGAATATCAGACAATAGTCTCTTTTCATATCTATGCAAATTCCCTTTTATTTATCTCTATTTGTGGCTCTCAAAATAGACTTACAACATCAAGAGAAGTTCCCTCCAACATCCAAAACTTTAGACTTGTTCTAAGTAATCAAGGTCACGAGCTCCTTGTTTCTATCTAATCACCACTGGAATAATGCACTGCTGCTTATTCCAGAGCACTTTCAGTAATTTGAGTCTCAGTCATATTTCTAGAAGACAAGAACAGAATCACTATACACTTGATTACAAATGTGATCAAGTCCACTCATAGACAAGACACTGATTCCTTCTTTATTCACTCATGAAAATGTCAGAGGAATTGCAATTATCTTGGTAGATAATTAACAGAAATTATTTTGGTAAAGATTCTCTATGAAACAAATACAATCTAGATAAAATTATAATATATTTTTCCCAACTTTTCAACAAAAAAATTAAAAAGGATTCAGATTCCCCTCCCAATCTTTCTGATCATTCTTAAAATGATTATCCTTTAATTCTCTCAATTTTTATGTATGAGAAACTTTAAATGATATATTCTGAAAGAGTAAAAATGTGCCTTAAGAACATTTCAACTATTCTAAAGGAGAAAGTACTTGATTTTTTTTAGACTTTATCCAGAACTTCTAATTTTTTCACTGGAAAAAAAAATGTCATGCCTCACAAAACATTTACATAGTTATAATACACTTCTCCAGTTGCCCACATAAATATAGAATGCAACTTAGGACATGATCAACATTATTTGCAAAATACAAGTATTTCAAAACAAACAAATCAGTATGATTAGAGTTTTTCAAGCAATAGATGTTAAACAATAACATCAGTACTTCCATCAACATAAATTTCCAAAAAGCAATGTTCTACATTTTCAGCAGAAAGGATTTAAGAAAGCAAGACTGAAAGAACTCAAATAAGTTGGAGAGCTACTTGGTTGAATGAAAATTCGGATTTTCAGTAGCTCTCAACACTGCAAGTAGAACCTTTGGATATTTTGATTTTTAAAAGCAAAATAAATAAAGAAAGTGATCCTTACACTGGAATAAATGCTCCCTCCTTCCTGGATGTCAGTTATAGATTTTTAGAAGAGAAAGGTCCCCAATAGAACTTTCTGAACAGCACAGTAGTTTTAAGGAGATGGTCTAACACTAGTCACATTCTTGAAAGATAAGTGTTAGCAGCTGCCATTCTATAATAAAACTAAAAGTATTAATTTTGATAAAGTACAGGACTTCTTTCTATTGCAATAATTCACAAAACCATCAAACCCCCTGTAGAAATCAGATTGAGTATGTTAAAATCTCATGAGCCAAATATGAATTCCCAAAAAGGTAATAGAAGTTACAATCCTTATTATTAGGCCTATTTTTTTTTTGCAACAGGCATTATGCAAAAAAGCTTGTCCTTCATTCCTGATATGAATTTGCATTAATCTGAGCAAGAATCTAATACACACATCCATAGAGTCTATTACATAACATGCTTAGATATGGACAACAATACAGCTATGTGGATCACCCCCCCTTAATTCATTAAACAAATGTAATTAATATGGTTAAGAATTAAACAGCATTTCCATATCAAATAAGCCTTCTCAAACTGGATCCCCTTCCCCATGTGTTGAATTTCAACTCCCAGAATTCCCAGCCAATATGGCATTGTCAATTAGAGGAGTGGAAGGCATCACCAGCCTGAAAAAGGTTGCGATGAAAGTACTGGCAAACCCTCCTACCATCCTCCAACATAAGTATTGCACACCCTGAACAGATGTCTGCAAATGGAGTAGCGTACATATTTCCCCGCTCCCACCCAGAGCCTTAAAAGGCGTACTATCGGACTACAAGCGCCGCCCGCCCTTTACTACATCCATTGGCCTACCGGATAGGATCGCGCTAGAGAGGAAACAGGAGGAGGAGGAGGAGGAGGGCTCATCCAAAAGCAACCTGGGGAAGGGGGGGGGGACCGGAATTCCCCGGGACTGCACCGACGATGCCTCGCCTCGAATTGCGTGGAAGAGCCGTTACCTTTCATTCAATCAGTAAGACGCACCGTAACCGGAGACGCGCCCCGCCGCCGCCGCCGCCGCTCCTGGAAAGCCGCTTTAATTCATTCTCCACAGCTGAGGCCGACGTAAAGACCTCCCCAGTGCGCGCCGCTGCCCTCCGCCCCCCCGCGGATCGGAGAGGTGGACGTGCAAAAAAAAAAAAAAAACCAAGGGAGGGAAATAGGGGCGTGAAAGGGCACTTTGACCCTTTCCTGGAAAGGTCGGAGGCGCGCCGTGTGGAGTCTTATTGGAGGGGGGGGGCGATACGGGAGACCAGCACTCCAACGTAGGCGCGCACCTCCAGCGCTCGTAGCCTACCTGCCCGAAGCGGACTGGCCTAGAGGCTGCGGAGAGGCGGGCGTAAGCGCGCGTAAAGAGGAGGGCGAAGCACAAGCAAACGAGCCGTCGCCTCCGCGCCCGCTCCCCCGCCCACCACCTGGGCTTGTCTGAGGACTGGCGCAGCCGCCTCCCTGCAAGAGAGGGGACCGAAACTCTTTCATTACTCCACAATCCCGAGTCGGGGATTTCTACCACGGGCTGTTCCGCCTCCCCGTGAGCCTGGGGGGATCCAATGCCTGCCAGCCTCGGAGTCGGCCCGGCTCACCAGAAGAGGGGGAGGAGGAGGGGGAGGAGACTGGTACGCCTCAGCTAGGCGCACCGGCAGGTTATCATCAGCCCGAAGCGAGTTGGCTTCTCCAACGCCCCTAAGTGCACTAACCACTCACTTTGGCCAAGCCGCTTCCCTCTCGATCGGCAAAGAAATTGGAGCCCTTGACTGGAGAGGGGCTGCCCCGGTTTAACGTCCACCTAGGCTCGCCTCCTCCTGCCTACCCTCGCGGCTTCTGCCAGGCGGGCGCCTGGTCTGATCGCCGCCGTCCCTCCCCTCCTGGTCCTCCCTCTCCGTTCTCTGCCCTCCGTGTCTGACGCACTCATTCCGTAACGTCTGGAGCCTTCAGAGGTACCCACTCCGGCTTCGCCTGCCGCTTCCCTCTTCGCCGCATCTCTCAGCCGGTCAGGAGCCGCCGCTGCCACAAAAGAAAATGATGGGCACAGATCGCCAGATCTGATGGCCCCAATGATCAAGAGAGCTTTTTGGAGGCTGCAAAGACAATACGGCTGCTAGACGATTGATTATAAATGCAAATGTAAAGGGAAAAATGGCGCGATCAACCTGCCGGCGTAAAATATATTGGTTTATATTTAAATCGGGAAGCACTTTTTTTTCCCCCTTCCATCTCGATGTGCTGCTGCAGTGTTCTTTAGCAATGGCTGCAACTGTTCCAGAGAACAATACTGTGTGATTGATTAGTGACAGGATAGTGCAGGCGACACAGCGATGGAGATGGAAAAGGTCACGGACATTTTGGAAGGGTGGCATTGCATTTGATTTCGTTCTGGTAAAGAAAACAGCCATACGATTAACAAAGCAGCATAATAAAAATGTGGCAACTATGATTAGAATGAAGATGAAAATGTTTGACCAAAAGAGGAGATTTGGCCCACTGAGAATGGATCTTTTTTCTCTCAAATCAGTTGAAAAGCAATAGTGTAGCTTCTGAAAAATTTCATACTCCTGCAACGGAAATACAAACAGCAGGTGCTACCGTTAGTAGCTAATTATGCATAGTTGTTTAACTATAACACCCGTATACATGGAATTACTCAGATGTATTCTTCATATTTTTTATTCAGATAAAAATCAATTTGTCAAAACTAGAATGTAGATTTAATCTGTGTGTGTATTTGTATACGATACAGTATACAGAATATCAAAATGAAAAAAGCAAATCAAGAAAAACTTAGGAATATGCATATTTATGCTTGTATTCATACAAGTGTGATCTTAAGAGTATAAGCATTTTATATATTCCATGTTTATATCCACAACATTTGTATAGGTAATGATTTATTTATGTCCCTTTTTAAAAAAAAAAGGTTTTAAATATAGATCCTTTACTATTACATTCGTTTTTTGGCAAAACATTTTGGGAAGAACAATTTCCCAAAGAAAGAGGTACTTGCAGTTTTCTAGAATTTTTCAGCAACCAGCAATAGGAATTTCTTCTATTGCAACAGTGAAAGTCTTATGTTTAAAGGTAGAGTTTTTGTTTGCTTATTTGAATGCAAATTTTAATTAAGTTTAATAAAATATAAATTCTAATAAAGTGGTACAGATCCTATTTTTATGTAATTTGGGGTCATAAAGTTCTAAAAGTAATTTTATTGATATGAAACAATATCAGTCTATTCAATAGTATTTATAACCACTAAAATCTTTACTGTATTCTGTGCCTATTTATTATGGAAGTTTAGTAGAAATGGAGGTGCTACAGTAGTTTCCTGGTTCTCCAAATGTTCTATACATTCATTTTCTCTATACATAACAATATGATAGTACTACTGTGATCAGTGCCATATACTCTAGTAAGCAGAGGATTTCAGCCTCCGTTATAATCAATAAGGTTGCTTACAATATGCATGTGTAGATACCTATTTTCTATTTTATAGGCATACTCCATTTTCATATATACAATTCATAAATTAAAACAATTGTAACTTAATGGGTTTATTTGCATGCTTGTGGATTTACCTGCTTCTGAGAAAAGCACCACTCTCTGTCATAATATGTATTCCAAAAATATCCAGAAGCATTCTTACAAAATAAAATAATAAATTTCAATTCATATCTTGTTTGGAAGTATGCCCACTTATTCTAGTTAAAAACAAAATAAGATGAGGTAATAGTAATCATTTAAGCCTGTAACCAGACATACTACGAAATACAACACACCAAATTAATACAGTAGCCCACAATAATCTAATAACAGTTTTTATGCAGTGGCCTAATACATTAGAGCAGAGGTCCCCAACCTTTTGGGCACCAGGGACCAGTTCCGTGGAAAAAGATTTTTCCACGGATCAGAAAGTACGTGATTTTGTGTGCTGCCTGCATCTCACAGGTGGGACTTTGCTTGTTTGTGCGGACCAGTTGTTGCATGTGGCCTGGTACCAATCCACAGACCAGGGGTTGGGGACCTCTGCATTAGAGGGAGTAACATCGAGTAATCTCATCGGATTGCCTTCTAGTAAGAGAATGTTTGGCCACAAGAACCATGATAGCCATTTTGTGAAAGTGCCATTAACATAGAACTGCAGAATTATTCATAGGATGTAATAGTATGTGGGAAAGACAGTTGGGAGACTGTGTGAAGGGATGCTGCCAAGGAACGGGCAGATAAGAGACAACATAGTCCTTGGCTACATAATGGGAAAGGCAAGAGACTTAGAAGAATCCCTCCCTACTTTCTCAGGCTGTAAAGGAGTTGGGGGTGGCACTGTACTTTCATACTTGAGAGATTCTGTCAATGTAGCTTTACAATAACATAGCATTAGTTTATCCGATTCCTATCAAGGCCAGTATCAATCTTCTGTCAATGTAGCTTTATAATAAAGTATAATTAGTTCATGTAATTGTGATTCTTACCTAGTTTACCTCATGAGGCCAACATTAATCTTCTCTATGAAAGAAAATTCCCCCCTCCCCCATCTCTTTAAAGCCCAAGAAACCAGGGGTGGTACTCAGCCTCTTGCCTTGCTCACTATCTTGCTGCAAGCTATACTGTCTCATATCAGACAGTTCTCTTGGCAGTATCTGTTCGCCCAGTCTCTCAAGGTCTTTCCCACATACCATTACGAAGGAAAAAATGAAGTTCTCTGTCTCTTTCAAATCCAACTTCTGATCAACCCCTAAAAAACTGGTGCAATAACCATGTAAATCATTGTAGCAGAATAGCTAAGCCAATAAAATGGAAATGTGGAGGTTTAAAATCTTTCCCCAAATCCTATGAGTCTTCACAACTTGGCCCACTACCTGCTTTGTGATAGCAACTTGATAGTTCCTGCTGCAACCACCAGTTTCCTAGGAGGTGCCTCACCTGATGTCCTTCCCCTAATACCGTACTACTGTGTAGAACAAAGTTATCACAACCGATGCTGCTCTAGTCAGAAAATCATATCATTTACTACTCAAGACATGCAAAACAAGGAACAGAATGCTTTCATAAAGCAGAATATAGCAAAGACAGGTCCCTCTGTGAGAGAAATGGACATTTCTTAAACATGATAAATAAATAATAAAAATCTGGTTACAATCTAGTCAATGGCCAAATCATATTAATTAGACTTTGTGAACAATTCTTTAACATGAAGTTACTCAATTTTATGCTTCAACCAGTAATGAAGAAGAAAAAGAGGTTGATGAGTTGATAAGGTCCAATCTAAAATCAACAAAACTTACAAGCTAGATGTCTGCCTCTGACTGGAGACAAGAATGCCAAAGTTGCAAATAGTATGAAGGAAAATGTAGATGGATTATATAGCTAGAAAAGGGAAGTGGAGCAATGGAATAACTTGCTAGTATCTTCAATCCAGTGATTTATTTATTGCTAATACAATCTTCAACTAAGAGGACATGTATACACAAGGACATCACCAGGTGGAATACAATAAAACAAATTGATTATATTATTGGTGCAAAGAAATGGAAAAGTTGAATTATAACAACAGAGAAGCAGATTACAAACTGTTCATGTACAAGTTCCAAGTCAAGCTAAAATGGAAAAAAAGCTAAGCAGTTTATACAACATGATCTGAAGTGTATATCTACCATTTTCAAAGAGAACATCAGGATTTATTCTGTACCTCACTGGTAGAAAACAGTGAAATTGTGGCATGAAATCAAACACATTTTTAAGGAAGAATGTGAAAAGAGACCTGCAAAGATTAAAAAAAAAAAAGCAAACAGAAGAAAGCAGAAACAGAACAAATGGTGGAAATTGCCAAAACAAGAGAAGCTAAAGCCAAAAAAGATGCAAAGGTATCAGGCAAAACCTGAGAATAGTTAGAAAAAACAAGCAATATTACAATATCTGTGAAGATGGAAAAATAAAGTTTTCCAAAATGTCTCTGAACTCAGAAGGGTCTAACATTGCATTCTTATGCTA